CCCCCCCCCCACCCCTCGCATTGTTTTTAATTAATAGAGTTTTGGAATTAGCCCCCCCTGCGGGATCCAGAAAGGATTATCTCATCTTAAATGCAATGACGAGTTGAGCCGGTTGGCTCTGTGACATATTCTGATTCATTTATGATCAGAGCAGAATTTTTCCGAATTGAGCGGCGAGACCAAGATTGAGCCGCTGTTGTTTTGCGGCAGCTCCACTCGGACATGGACAAAGGCGACGGGTCCATCAAGTACATCCTGACGGGCGAAGGCGCTGGCACCACTTTCACCATCGATGACAGCACGGGCGACATCCACGCCATCCAGAGGCTGGACCGTGAGGTCAAGGCTCAGTACGTGCTGCGAGCTCAGGCCCGCAACCGCCTCACCGACAGGCCGCTCGAACCCGAGTCCGAGTTCATCGTCAAGATCCAAGATATCAACGACAACGAACCCAAGTTCCTGGACGGACCCTATCGAGCGTCGGTGCCGGAGATGTCCAAAATAGGTACAGTACGTTGTCATCCGGCATTCTAACAGCGAATGGATCCCCATTTAATTGTTCTGCCTGTCACTGTACACTGCTGCCATCGATAAATGAAGAAAGTTAGTCAGGCCATAGCCTTGTCTAAAAAGAAGTGTTTTATTGCCATCTCCATACAATTAAAAATCTTTACCAGGAACGTCAGTGATTCAGCTGACCGCAACGGACGCAGACGACCCGACGTATGGCAACAGCGCCCGGGTGGTCTACAGCATCCTGGAGGGTCAGCCTTACTTCTCGGTGGACGCCAAGACCGGTACGCGAGGCCCGTTTGCTGCAGGCCAAGGGGAGAGTTTCTTTTTTGGCTTTTGGGGTGGGCATAACCTCGCGGTTGTCTCCTCAGGCGTGGTGCGGGTCTCACTGGCCGACATGGATCGGGAGACCAGGGAGAACTACACGGTGGTCATCCAGGCCAAGGACATGGGCGGCCAGCTGGGCGGCCTCGCCGGAACTGCACGGGTCGACATCTCGCTCGGCGACGTGAACGACAACCCCCCCGTCTTTGATCAAAGTGAGACAACAGGCCACTCCTATTGTTC